TTCTAAATCTTCTTTTCCCACTGGTAGCCTTTCATGATAATTTATTGTCCTGGGGTGTTAATTTGATCCTAACGGTACTTGGGAAAGTCCATTAAAGGGTAAAAAATTCTGGAAACAAAGTGATCCCTCAGAAGCATTAATCACAACAAAATAACATAAGAATTGCAGACTCGGTTTAAATCTGCATATTATCCGATATAACATCTAATAAGAATGTGTACTATCGTAGTGGCTCAGTTTGTAAATTAACATAACTGTAAATTTTACTAATCTGCAATCAGAGGTTCGAACCATTCCCTCTGACAAGTTATAATGATGTTGTTATTGTTTTTTCTCCCTGTTTATTTACTTTGTCTTGTGTATGATCATAGAATATGTCTTGTTTTTTTTCTATTTATATTTTATGTTTCTTTTTGTTTCCATCATTATAAAGAAAACAACTACATATCAAGTGATTTTTAGCTCGACTTTTCTATGAAAAGGGGAGCTATCCTACTCGCCTCGGCGTCGGCGTCGGCGTCGGCGTCGGCGTCGGCGTTAGCGTTGGCGTCACACCTTGGTTAAGTTTTTCGTACCACCCCACTTTATTTCAGAAGTATTACAAGTATGGCTTTGAAACTTACCATACTTGTTCACCATCATAACCTCCATCTACAGACAAGAGTACATAACTCTGTCAAGGTTTTTGACAGAATTATGGCCCTTTTTTGACTTAGAAAGTGTATTGAGCTTGGTTAAGTTTTTTGTACCACCTCACTTTATTTCAAAACCATTGGAGGTATTGCTTTGAAACTGACCATACTTGTTTACCATCACGACCTTCATCAACAGACAAGAGGACATAACTCTGTCAAGGTTTTTGACAGAATTATGCCCCTTTTTGACTTAGAAAATACATTGAATATGGGTAAAATCCACTTATTGCCTTAACCCTTTGAGATATTGCTTTGAAACTTTTAATGCTATTTCACATCATTACCCCATCTGTACGCAAGAGAAGGTAACTCTGTCAAGGATTTGTTTTAAAAATTAAGGCCTTTTATCGACTTAGAATCTTGGTTAAGTTTTTAGTACCAGTCCACTTTTTGACTGAACTGTTTGAGATATTAATTTGAAAGTTGGAATACTTGTTTACCATCATGGTCCCAAAACATGGGCAGGAGAAGGTAATTCTGTTAAGGATTTTATTTGAATTATGGCCCTTTTTGACTTAGAAACTCAGTTAAGATTTTCATTCTTGTCCACTTGTTGACTTAACCATTTGAGATATTACTTTGGAAGTTGGAGTTCTTATGTGCCATCATGAGACCTATCTGTAAGCAAGAGAAGATAACTCTGTGAAAATGTTTCTTGATTTGTACTTAGAAATTCCTAGTTAAAGTCTTGTGTGCCCTTAACTGTCAAAGTTTTGTTTTATAGGCAAGCACTAAAAAAGTCGAGCGCGCTGTCCTTCTGACAGCTCTTGTTGTTGTTATCCCCCGCCGAAAATTTTGGGCGGAGGATATAGAAATAGTCTCCGTCCGTCCGTCCGACCTTCCGTCCTTCCGTCCGTCCTTCCGTCCGACATTTTTGTCCGGAGCATATCTCTAAAAGTATTTGAGTTATCAACTTGAAACTTCATAGGTGGATAGACCTCATTGAGGAGGAGTGCGGTACAAGAATGATAACTCTACCTTGCATGATTTTTGAGTTATTGCCCTTTGTTATTTTTCAAAATTGATTTTTGTCCAGAGCATAACTCCAAAAGCCTATGAGATATTAACATGAAACTTCATAGGTGCATAGATCTCACTCAGGAGGTGTGCAGTGCACATGAATGATAACTCTACCTTTCATAATTTTTGAGTTATTGCCCTTTGTTATTTTTCATACCTAATTTTTCACCTGAGTGGAGCATAACTCAAAAAGTGTTTGAGATATCAACATGAAATGTCATAGGTGGATAGATCTTATTGAGGAGGAATGTTATATGTGGATAGACCTCATTGAGGAGGAGTGCCGTGCACAAGAATGATAACTCTACCTTGCATGATTTTTGAGTTATTGCCCTTTGTTATTTTTCAAAATTGATTCTGTCCAGAGCATAACTCAAAAAGCCTTTGAGATATCAAAATGAAACTTCATAGGTGCATAGATCTCACTCAGGAGGTGTGCACTGCACAAGAATGATAACTCTACCTTTTATAATTTTTGAGTTATTGCCCTTTGTTATTTTTCATACTTAATTTTTCAATTCAATTTTTTTCTCAAAAAGTATTTGAGGTATCAACTTGAAACTTCATAGGTGGATAGATTTTACTGAGGAGGGATGCAGCACACAATAATGATAACCCACCCTGCATTATTTTTCAGTTATTGCCCTTTGTTATTTTCAGCCATCAGTATTCACATAGGTTTCAAATCTGTAATCACTATAGCCATCAGTTTTCATTACCAAAAGACCTCTTAAAATAGAATTATTCTGTTGTACTACATATACATTCTTCCAATGAGCAAACACATTCGGCGGGGGATGGCCATGTTGACATGGCTCTTGTTTTTTTATTGTATTTTACATTTTAAAAATCAAACTACATATATTTTAAACACACTACGATTGGGAAATATTAATAATTTAAACATATTGATCAATATATATTTTATTATTTTATTTTAACTTCTCTAAATATGCTTTTTCTATCAAATTTTACACAAGTGCATGGAAGAGTCGCGTCACGACAAAATCAACATAATGGGTTTTCGACCAGCATGGTTCCAGACCAGCCTGCACATTCGCGCAGTCTGACCAGGATCCATGATTTTCGCTATCAGTTTCTGTACTTGTATTAGAGATGGTAAGCCAACAGAATGGATACTGATCAGACTGTGCGGATGCGCAAACGCAAACGCACTATGTTGGTTTTGTCGTGATGCCGCTCAAATATCCTAATCTCATGCATTTGAAAAAATGAGGCTTCAGTCCGCCTTACCTATTTTTCGCTAGGCTATTAATCTTTGTCACGTTAACAAATGTAAACTCAAGTTATCATTCTTGGACAGTAAAGAAAAACTAAGTTGAAAAATGAACATAAAATGGTGATGATAATATTTAGTTTCAAAAAGCATGTATATATATGAAATACATAATGAGAAACACACAATACCGTATAAAGCGACATGTTTATAAATTATGTACGATAAATAAACAAAAAATATAAATTTCGTCCAAGGCATTACGAAAAAAGCAAATTGTGCGATTTTTCAACAAGAAGTAACAGCTTAATAATAACTCTATCTATGATGAGATAAGCATACACATGTTTATTTACATTCCCACCTACCGTCGATTGCATTCACTCTGTGCTGTGCCTCTGTTAGAAAAACAAAATATCCTTATACAGGACTGTAAAAACAATTCACACTTTTCACGCATTTTGTTAAATCTCAAATAAATAAATTCATGACCCTACTTGCACTCTAGGCAGATGATAATTTTAGCTTTAACATAAAACCATTTTCTGCTATTGATTGTCATTCTGTCATTTGTAGGTCAATTTTCATATGCAAATATCTAAGTTTCTAACTAAAATTTGGGGAAACACATTATTTCACGCTTAATGAAACTAACCAATTGGACAATTGGATATCAAGTTTTTTTGTTTTGTTTTTTATTTTGCAATATGGGACTTTTACAGTTATTTTTCAAGACCGCAATACCAGAGTTGTGAGAGACAGATGTTGCTTGAATTGTGTTTTGACGCGATTGAGGTTATTATTTGCGTTTGCTTTAATTCAGAAACAAACAAGTTTCTCTTTCTTTATAAAGGACAGACGTGAATCTTATAATGCATAAGTTATGATATTAGAAAAGGTTACATACATATCATGACCTAAAGAAAGAAGTGCTGAGTATGAATTTATGTGTCATAAAACTAACAAAATGTAATCAAGGTAGTAATACTTTCATACAATATACTAAATCAATATAACATTACTAATATCTAAAAGGAACTGAAGCAAAAGATGGTTTAGGTAATCGGCCAATTAGTCACTTTTTTATAACCTACGTTTGTATATCAGGACACCAAAACTGAAAAGCTTTTGGAAATAAAAAGAAACCATTTTTGAGGAATAATAGGCCTTAAATGGTTTCCATTGAAATTTATAATTATTATACTTCACGTTTTTTTGAAAAGGAAAGAAATATAGGAATTGTCACAAACAATGAACAATTTCCATTTCTTTGGACAAAATGGACAATTTTGTAAGGATTTCTTACTTTGGTCCATCCCACGTGACTTGTGACATCAGAATGGCGGAACACATCATCAAGCCGATACCAATTCATATGTTTTTCCAAGCTTATTCTAGTTCTAAACAAATCGAACTTACAACTTTTTATCGTCAGTATCCAAGATAGCTATGTGATGTCGACGTCTCTTTTATATTATTTGGCATCTTGTTATAATATCGAGCACTGAGAATAGTCGAGCGCGTTGTCCTACAGTCACCTCTTGTTATATACCTCTAACCTTTAAAGTGAGAAATATTTGCGTGGTAGCAAATTTAATTATGTTTTGTTTCTTTCAGTTTTCCGCATCATGAAGACATTACTGTGTTACCGACTTTATATGATTTATGTTTGGTCCCTACTGTTTGGTAAGTGTTCTTTACGATTTTTCTTTTTTAATATAATTTTTTTATTGCCTTACAATACTTACCACAACACTTGTAAACAACGTTAGTTTAACCTATATGAGCCGTGTCACGACAAAGCAAACATAATGGGTTTGCGACCAGCATGGATTCAGACCTATGCAAGAATTGGATTTCTATCTAAAAGGTCAATGTCACATTTGTTTAACAAAGTGATGTTTTGAGATTTATCATTAAAGTGCATTGATGCTTGTTGTGTCCAATCAAAAATTTTGTCTTTTCTGGATAAATATGAAATTATTATAATTGAATTTTTAAACATATTTGATGATGTTTGGTCTGTCAGATCCGGGTCCCTATCCTAAAAGGTCAGCATCATACTTGTAGATGAAAATTCGTGATATAAATTTTTAAGTGCACTGATGGTCGTTTCCAGTGGACAATTCTGTCATTCCCTGATGAATTAAAATAAAAAGATACGTATATATGTGCTGGCTGGACATAATCACGATGGATGGCGCGAATGTATCTGGTCTATAGTTTGAAGATTTAAGATACACTAGTATGCCAATCATGTTATGGTATGAAATTATACGTAAAAATGTAGTGATAGTTGTAGCCAATCAACATTTGTCATTCGAGGAAGGACTATAAATTAATTTGATACAATTAAATAATGTTTTGCGCATAGGGGTGAGATCTCCACTTTAAATGTTAAACGTTATGATTGGGAATTGTTGGGGATTGTTGTGTTCTTCTGTACATAGCTTTGTCATTCATGCATTGACTTTGAAATAATTATGCATAAATATGCTGTTTATGAAGATGATATGTAATAAACAACATTTAGCTCAACAACTGAAAAGTTTAAGTTAATACTAGAATATCAATTCATGATATTCTTGATAGTCATGTCCAGTCGTTCATGTCTTTTTGTCATTCATTGATGTATTTTGTATTGACTTCGCTTACGCAGAACATCGTGTCGCACACGGTTCCCATAGGGCGCGGATTGACATGTACGATTGTTTAGCCCCAACAGTGCCTGGTAATAAATTGGTACGAGTTCAACTCGACTGTTGCACGAGTATGTACGAATAAAGCACGGACATATTCAGTCAAGCAAGGTTTGAACGCGATATGTATACAAATACATAAGAGTGTTATACGGTTACAAGTACGGTCTAGTACGATTAAACACGACTTGTACACGTTTTACTAGGTTTACACAGACTTAACATAGGGTCCCGCCGACGACTTTTGTTCAAGTTATGCTCAAATTATCACACATTTGTCTCTGCTTTTATATAAGTTAACCCATTCTCATCGTTTGGCTTCATAAATGTTCGAACTTTCAACGATGAAACACCTATATATGTGTAAAAAAGTTACATAGAATAAAACTAATAAGAATGTATGCTTTAAAGCGATTGTAGGACATTAAATATAGTTGGCAGAACTATTATTATTACTCAGATGGTTTCCTTCGGTCAAGGCCAAGGCCACACTGACTCATTTAAATACTTATGTAATTAACATATAACAAAGGGAGATAACGATGTATGAATTTATTAAATTATCCAATTTTTCATTTAAAGTTATTAATAATAAAAGCTGGCTTGTCACATGAACGTTTGAATCCATACATACTTTTCAATTGAATAAGATGTGCATTGTACGTCGTACTATCTTAAAAATGGTTTATATTCTTCAAAGCATGTGAACAAACATTTTAGATGACATATTCAAACTAAATACCAATATCTAAAACATACATTTTTACGGCGGCCGTAAGCTTTATTATACTCAAATAGAGCGGATGAGTGTTAATGTGTCAATAATACAGCATTAATAAAGACAATTTATTATTTATTGTGTTCAGCTGATACTGAGGGAAGTTGCTCCAAAGATGTTACGGCACTACCAAATATGCCTCTCCGTCAACCGAGCAGAATATGGGACGAGAAAGAAAATCTTGGTATAAGTGATGACAATCTAAACTATGAGTGGTACAGTGTTGTACATAATGGGTGGCAATATATTATGGTTGACTCAACCACTAAACCTGACTATACGAGCTGTTCTACATACTATCCAGTTTATTTAGAAGGTATTATTTTAACGCCAATATTTTTTCCAGTGGAACAATTTACATGTATAATAAGTTTTGTAATAGTTCTATATATTCATTGTACGTCTTTACTCTTATTTAAAATTTTATTTATTAATCATTAGATTAAGTGAAGAAATCTTTTATTAATCTTGAAAGTGAAACGGGTAAATGAGAGCCTTGCGAATGTATTAATTAAAATACAAACTAGCTCACAAGCTTATATGAGGGAAGTTTTACATATAAAATAATATTTAATACATGCCTTTATTATATTACCCACCTGAAGGTACCCATCCATCGATAGATTCATTAACTGAAACACCAATAGACGCCGTGGCCTGTAAACGTGATTATTTGTTTCCGTGTGATATACAGCATCCAGTGAAGATAAGAAAATGTGGAGATGATGATATTCAGTACTACCTGCCCCCGACAAAGTCATCTAGTGCATTCTGTTTCAGTAAAGTTTTTATATTTATAAATTAAATATACAAAATAAATGTTATTACACTGGAACATAAACCGTTCAGGTAAATCATATGTAGACAACTTTCAAGAACACTGTTTTTATATACGTACTTGTAAAGCATTTTATTTGCATCTAAATATGATATCTAAAGCAATCAAACACTGACATTTTCAGCTATTGTAGTAAAGAAAAAAATGTAAATTGACAAAACTCTTCAAAAGTGACACAGTGAAAAACATTAAAATTCGGATGCATATATTTCAGATAAATATTCCCAACTGCGCATTACACCAAATATATCAGATGTTGAACTTGGAGACGTAGACATATCACCAGAGCTCAGATTCAATGAAAATGAGTTTAATACTCCATTTGGAAAGTCGACACATTTTGACCCGTATTTTCAGTTCCGATGTTTGTTCAATGTGCAAGCGGATTTCTATTACAAGGTTAACTGGTAAGAATCGTGACCTGTTATCTGTTGTCAAACTGACACTGTAAAATTATATGAAGCTCTTTTCGAGCTTACCTTGTGCTGCAGAACCCTACCTGCATAATTTGAGTAAGAACAGACAACTGAATTAAAGCCACTTCTGATTTTTAAGCTGTGATATTTCTGCACTTTAAATCATTCAATGAATCCGGCTGTATTTGAATTCACAATTGAGCAGGAAATAATAATTCTGAGGTAATGCATCCGACAAAAAAGCTGATTAATTGTTAATATTGTTCAATATTGGATATTTTTACAATATAAACGTTTTGAATTAATTTAAAACCCAAAATACACCGCCAGCCTTTATCATTTAGAAGGTAATGCGCTATTCTTGTTGATTAAACAATGCACAATAATATTATGACGGATAATTAATTTTAGTTGCCTGCGGTTGCTTAGTTTTGTTTGGGACTTGCATTTATTTTACAAAGTTTACTTTCATTTTGACCATAGGTACGTGAACGGGGCCCTTCTGGTTTCATATGGCCCTACAACAGACATCGATGGATTACTTTTTCATCAGAGTGTGCTTATTGACAACGATATAGAAATGGGATTCGATGTAAGTCCTGTATAGTGACATACGATTACTACTTGTTTTATAAGTACCAATACTGATTTTTTTTATGCCCCCGCCATGTAATGGCCGGGGCATATAGTGTTACCCTGTTCCGTCCTTCCGTCATTCCGTCCTTCCGTCATTCTGTCATTCCGTCATCATCAGTTTCCGTTCATTATCTTAGTAACGGTTGCACATATTCAACTCAAATTTGACATATGAATATGTCATGAGAAAATACAGGTCAAGTTCGAATTTGGTCACGGTTCGATGATTTTTGGCAGAGTTATGCCCCTTTTACTTTGAAAATAATATGAAATTTTCAGTTTCCGTTCATTATCTCCCCAACGGTACAACACATTCAACTCAAATTTGACATATGGATATGTCATGAGAAAATACAGGTCAAGTTCGAATTTGGTCATGGTTCAACGATTTTTGGCAGAGTTATGCCCCTTTTACTTTGAAAATAATATGAAATTTTCAGTTTCCGTTCATTATCTCCCCAACCGTACAACACATTCAACTCAAATTTGACATATGGATATGTCATGAGAAAATACAGGTCAAGTTTGAATTTGGTCATGGTTCGATGATTTTTGGCAGAGTTATGCTCCTTTTACTTTGAAAATAATATGAAATTTTCAGTTTCTGTTTATTATCTCCCCAACAGTACAACACATTCAACTCAAATTTGACATATGGATATTTTTTTGGAATGCCAAGGTCAAGTTCGAATTTGGTCATGGTTCAATAATTTTTGGCAGAGTAATGCCCTTTTCACTTTGAAAAAAATATGAAATTTACAGTTTCTGAAAAGTTTTAAGGGCTTTGAACTTAAAATGAAAAAAATAATTTGTGCTAACAAATTTGGAACTAAATATAATAACATCTGAAATTTTGGCTGCATGCGGGGGCATCCGTGGCATGATGACACATTTCTAGTTTTGGTAATGTTTTGAATATTTTTAATTTTTCAACATTTTCCTGAAACATATACATGTAGGTTCTCATGATATCAAATAAAACATCTGGTCAGAATACGACAAACATTTTTGATACTTCAATACAGCTTTTCGTTCAAATCAAACCTATGTAAATGTTTATAAACTTTTGATATCAAAGGAAAAGATTAACCTATGTTTATGTTCATAACAATAATTTTTCAAGATCGATACTTTATAAAGAAAGTGTAGAAAATCTTAAGTCTTTCCTTTTTTGTCATGATGAGTATCAGCTTTGTTTTCAGATCTATTGTGGCGTCAGTGCCCTTACATCTGATAATGCGGATGCCGGGATAACAGAAATGGCATTTAGTAGAAGCTTTTTTGCCGGCATCAAAGTAAGTGTATAGTAGAAGAATATGTAGAGAGGATAATAATTTCTTTAAATGTGATATTTGTTTCGTTGTGTTTTTTACATATTTTAGGGGATGGCCCAAAAAGATTTTGCTGAAGACTCCGTGCCAAAAGGACGAAGCCAATATTGTTACACCTATTTATTTATTTTAGAATCATTGTTCATGTGTAAATTAACTTAATTTGCTTAGATACAGTTTCGGAAAATATTTTTCTTTTATAAAGGAAATTCAAGCCGTTTTAATCTAGGAGCTAACACTAACCCTGTGAGCTAAATGTACGAAATATACAAACATAATAGTACAGAGATCACACACCTAGACACAAATTAAGGACGTTTTCGGGAGTTTATATAATGGCAAATATAGAATTTCTTTAAACTTTGCATGTTAGAATATGATAACAGAAACATTTTAAGCGGGAAAAATTGGGGTGATACGGAGATGATGTGCTGAACACAGGTTTTTGCTTTCTCGTATTCAAATCAAGGTCACATTTATTCGTTCAAAATCAAAATTACATTAGCTTGTATTTTATAAATTGCGATTACTATATATGGATTTATTAATATGTTTCCTCCTTTATTATTACTAATATGTTACCTCCCTTTATTTCTCAGAATATATTACTTTATAATGTTTCTTTTATCAAACTTTATTATTTCAGACTTTTTTTGTTAAGGAGTTTATATGTTTAAAAGGAATGGATAATTAAATGATTGTGAAATAAGACAATTTTATCAATTATAACTGTTGAAATATAAACTTTGTAAAATTCACCTAAAAACAAAATATGCCTTTTACAGATTGACTGTGATATTCCATACACCAAACACCGCTTTTTATGGAACAGCTTCAAGTAACTGCAGTGAACGTATCATCTTTACTTGTCTGATATTCGTGGCATATCTGATCAATAATCAAGCAGATAGACGATGTGTGTGCGCTAAAATATAATTTGTTATTTTGTTATTAGGTATCAAATACAACCATCAACATTGATAAAGGTGACACAGCGGTTCTTCAAATGACATCAACAATGCCAATAGGCTGCAGATATGCTGATCTACCAGCGGGTGAAGATTGTATTGAAAATTTTCAAATTTTTAACCGTGATAATGAAGACATACAATGCGAGGCTGGCGTTGCTAATTTAGCTGGACTACAACCAAACCAACGATGCTCAAATGGTCTGCAGGTACACTTTGTCTTATCATCTATAGAACTGTTTTATGTAATTAAAACAAAAACATTTAAATAAATGATAAATTGACACGTTTGCAGATGTTTAAATTTTTAATTTAGAATTCCTGTTTAAATGTTGAAAATTGCTTGAGGCGTTGCTATAATGCGTTGTCGGTAGTCTACAGGACTCAATAAAGCACAAAATTTTCATTTTGCCATATTCGACATTTTCTTTTTCTATGATATTAAATGTCTAAATAAGATACAAATAATAATATTATTTTATGTTACTTTTACCAATTTTCGAGGAGATTTTTCATGAAACAAAAATACTTTTAATATGAAAAATAAGATCAACAAGGAAAGATGGCAATCAAAGAACAACTTAATAACACTGGCTCTCTGTCTCTTTGAATAAATGTTTTTATTTCAGACGTTAAAAAATGGATCAACTTGGAACCCTGATACAGTGTTCAATTTCTCGATAGTAACAACAGACATGAACTATGATGATAAACGGCTTTTTTACCTTTTGTTACAATTTCCCGATACAATGGGTCATGCGATTTGGAGGAATTATAAATTTCCAGTGATTAAGGTACTTCTAAACTTCTTGCATGCAATTACATTTTATATATACTATACATTTCTTTCTGTTTAGAAATATATTATTTAAATTATGTGACCATTAAATATGTTTTTGCTCTTATTAATATGAAGTAACATGTACATGGCATAAAGAAAACAATCATTAACTCCATTATCTAAACATATTTTCAATGAAATATTGGAATAGTGGAATAAATGAATCTAAAATATATATCAAAATCTTCGACTAGAAACTAAAAACTACCACTTTTATAAGCTAAATACATGTTATAGTTTAGAAAAGTATAGAACAATCCAAATACCAACAGTATGTATTCATACCGTTGACAGATTGTGTAAAAGCAAACCTACATATATATATATTAAACGGTGCAATGCATAACACAACGTTTATCAATTTAATTCAATGTTGAACTTAAAAAATCCAGATATAATAGTATTTGAAAGAACAACTAAATTAAAAGGTTAATAGTTGAAGATACAAATAGTTGACATTGATATATGAGCCGCGTCACGAAAAAACCAACATAATGGGTTTGCGACCAGCATAGATCCAGACCAGCCTGTGCATCCGCACAGTCTGATCAGGATCCATGCTGTTCGCTTACAGACCCTATAACAAGTAAAGAAACTGATAGCAAACAGCATGGATCATAATCAGACTGCGCGGATGCGCGGGCTGGTCTGGATCCATGCTGGTCGCAAATCCATTATGTTGGTTTTGTCATGACGCGGCTCATATATTCTTTTTTAAAGGTTATCGTATCTGACAATGGCGAATACAAATCAAAGATATGTTACTCTCACATAGACCCACATATGAGATCAGCTGACGGCGTGTAAGTGTACACTTTTATCTTAAAGATCCTGTTTATTGTGATTGAGGTTGTATACCACAGTTATGTGAAATTATATATATGTATATAATTATGCTTATGAAACAATGTTCAAAAATCGAAGACTATGTAAAGTATGTACTACAAATATTTGTATATATTATATGCAATCATTAAAATATATGCATTCATTTCTTATTGAAAAATTTGACTTAGACTTTATAAAAAATAATTTTTATTACCTCCCTTTATTTACATGAAATGTTAAATTCGGCTATATCTTTATAAATGATGCTTTTTGGAACTTACAAAATTGATAAATCTTAATTTGAGCATCATATTTACCATATAAATCTTTAAAGATACCTGTATCCGTTTCTATGGTAGAACATTTCTCTGCCATCATTAAACACTCGGACAGATATCAAGTTTATTGTCTAATCTAATTTAATATATTCTAGTTTGATCTGTCATTTAAATAAATAACACTCTGTTTCTTTGTTCGTTTATTTGTTGTATTTTTTTGTATTTTTTAATCATACTTAATAATGATACTTTGGTATAAAAGTAACCAAAATCGTTTCGCGAGTGTATAATCAAAGCTATTGACGAACAAAACCATATTTGAAAATGATTATTCTGATGCCACAGATATTATGAGCAACAAACAAAGAACGGTCAGCCTTTTCCTGGTGTGTTCATGTTATATCATAACACGAAATATGGAATCGAGGTATGTCTTATAAGGCATGGCAATATTTACAGTAAATATTCAAATGTTAAATATTCAAATGCTATAATTTATATGAATATTCATGTCTTCTATCTTCAATGTAAGTGATTGGCATGAATGAATTTCAGCAAATTACGGAGAATAAGATTTACAATGTAAATTGTGAAATTGAATGGTCATAAATGAGATAAACTCATTAACAATATGCAATGTAATTTTCTTTTTTATAAATTTATAAACATTAACTTTATGCATGTTATATTGATAGTGTAATTGTTGATTTTAGAAAGAGTTGTATCATAGAATGCCTGTTTGTTTTACAATTTGTATGTAGACGTAAAAGATAAAGTGTTTCGATGAAAAGAAATAGTCTGCTTTTTTCAGAAGTTTTAAGCATGATTTAAAGCATGTGCAAGTGACCCTTAATAAGAAAATATATAACGAAATATACAAACGTACTTCTTTAAAATGGTGTTTTGGAATATTCAATGTTTTTTGTAAACTACACGCAACACATAAGCTTTTTACAAATCAAGCTTGTATTTTTAGGTTCAAGAAAAAACTAAGATATGTAATAAAAGGGCGACGTGTGCCTGTGGTGTTGCTATTCGAGCCGGTAAAGATGTTTTCATGATTAATAGGTGTGGCAGTATAAACTACATTGGTTTTACAAAATGCGAAGACGGTGGAATTTTACAAGTTGTAAGGATAAATGATTACACATACGATGTAAGTGTTATTTTAAGCTTTTGCAATTAGTGAAGAAATTCAATAAAATAACGATCATGATTTTTTCTAAAAATTAGAAATGATGAAATATATTTTTAAATTTTGAAAACGGTGTCTGATATTATCCTATTATTCATGAAAGTATAAAAAATAAAGAAAATTAAATTTAAAAGAAAAAAACAATCGCAAAAAACACCCCCGCCTAAGAACAAAAAATTTCCCTTCATATCTCCTATTGTTGTTAAAAATTTCGAAAAGTCCCAAAAAGGAAAAAAATTTTTTTTTAAATCCATTTTTCTTTTGAATCTACTTAAAAACTGCAAACACCAAACTGTTTTGTTGTCATTTTTTAATATTCATGTGCTGTTGCTTTTGTTCTAGTATTATTCTTTATTGTATCAATTGTTATTGTTTTTGCATGTATTGACTTTATTTGCATTCCACATGTGTATTTTGAATGCACTAATTGAACTTTTTTTTACAATTTAAGGTGTTTACCCCAATAGGTACTAAAATAACAATTAGGCTATACAGCGCATACGATACTTCAATGAATATAGACATAACAATGGCACCGAAAGACTTGTTTAACATTGAGGGACTATGTGGCCAGTTTGACAATAATCCAGCCAACGATTTTCGACATAGAGACGGAACTATTTCAGAAAACAATGGAGCTAATCGAAACAGCAATTTTGCAGACTTCACAGAAAGCTGGAGGTAATAATATTACAATAAAAGTATCTCTTTGATCTATTAACAGGCAATCCAAATGAATAAAAACAAAATACTGTTTGTGGTGGACTTTTATCCTTTGAATATAAGACTAAAAGCTCTTTCTTGTTTTGTCCTTGCCACACATATATCTAAGATCACTTTATATTATTGAAATAAATATCAGCATACCATAATTATACTTCATTTATTAACACTTTGAGATTTAATCAAATTTTCACATTTGCTATAATATAAGATTTTATTCACAGATAAATGCTTGTATTACGCTCCAAATAGAACATTTTTTTTATTTTCAACAAATCTGTTTCACCAATGAAAGAGGTTACTGAAGTCAATATAACAAGTTGAACCGAACCTTTATATAGTAAATGTTTAAGAGCATGAGAAACTCGAGAATTCCATGAAACATGAAATAAACATGAATTTGTAATAACATAAGAACTGAAGAGGAGTAAGAAATTAGGACTGTGGAGTTTCAATGTTATACAATTAAATAAAACTTACATAAGAGCTAACAAAAACAAAAGAAATAAAGATCGTAACTTCACGACACTGTTGTCTGCGTAATCTTTGATACGCCTTTTTACTATTTTCTATCATGCAAGTCTGTTATCTATGGCATGCCGTTAGGGCCATTGTCTATGAATGTGTTGATCTGAAACGCGATAGTCGATAGTATGATGGTGAAAACGCGAAATCACGAAACTACGATGGTGAAAACGCGAACGCACGATGATGAAAACGCGAAAGTACGATAATGAAAACGCGACAGTACGATACTACGATGATGAAAGTGCGATAAACTATCGTGTGTTCACCATCATACTGTCGCATTTTCACCATCGTAGTTTCGTGATATCGCGTTTTCATCATCGTACTGTCGTGTTTTATCATCGTACTGTCGCGTTTTCATCATCGTACTATCGCGTTTTCACCATCGTACTATCGCGTTTTTCATCATCGTCTTGTCGTGTTTTCATCATCGTACTATCGCGTTTTCACCATCGTACTGTCGTGATTTCATCATCGTACTATCGCGTTTTCATCATCGTACTATCGCATTTTCACCATCGTAGTTTCGTGATTTCGTGTTTTCACCATCGTACTATCGACTTTCGCGTTTCAGATTAGCACATTCATAGGCGATGGCCCTAACGGCATTCCGGAATGCCGTTAGGGCCATCGCCTATGAATGGTTTGATCTGAAACGCGACAGTCGATAGTACGATAGTGAAAACACGACAGTACGATGATGAAGGCGCGAAATCACGAAACTACGATAGTTTATCGCGTTTTCATCATCGTAGTATCGTACTGTCACGATTTCATCATCGTACTATCGTGTTTTCACCATCGTGCTTTCGCGTTTTCACCATCGTAGTTTCGTGATTTCGCGTTTTCACCATCGTACTATCGACCATCGCGTTTTAGATCAACAGATTCATAGGCGATGGTTCTAACGGCATTCCGTAGTTATCACCAGATACTTGTAATATTACCAAGCCTTGATTTGTTTTATTCGTGAAACTTGTACCGAGGTATTGTCATGAAGTGGCCAGATTCATATTGTCGAAGCTTTCTCCTTTAATTGTTTCTAACGTAATAATGGCCCTTTGTTTTTTACACAGATGTAATATACGGAGAAAGAGGAGAAATATTCTTCTGTAAAACTTCTACGTTTCTCAAGGGATTTCACAGCTCTGAACTAAGAAATTCAAATAGTATAATTCATGCGCTTGATCGTCTGTCCGTCTGTCATATTTCCTTTGAATGTGTTAATAGTTAATGTTTCGTAAGGTCTCTTCGGCCCATCATCAAGCATTTGCTATAAAATACGGACCCCGGACATGCCAATAGTCAGATCCCATAATTTCCAGTCGAAAGTAGTTCACTGTATAGCGTCATTAAGCCGATTAAAGTATAATAACCTGTTACATAATGTAGCTACATCCTTATTACATACGAGTATAGTCGGCAAAGAGAGAAAATTCTTAGAATAAAGAAGAAATTATTATATACTATGAATTATGACTGTCAGATAAAATTTCACATGAAACCATCAGTTCTTACCTCGAACCTTTCAACTCCCTACATTTCCTTTTTGGTGATAACCAAAGTTTTACAAGCCAATTGTCAATTATTTGATTTAGCATACTGTAGTGTTTGGAGATTTTGCGATTTAATGTATTCGATGGAAATTATAACACGTCATTGCTGTTTTTTAAATAGATAAATAAATAAAATATATAAATAAATATATAAATAAATTAATAGATATATGTACGTATCACGGTATCAGAAATATATTTCTATGCACAAGACCTCTAGTTTTCTAAAGGCATAATACTTTAATTTTTTGCGTTTTAAAATGGTTGTGTGACAACTCTTGTTACTTTATTTTTTTTTTCTCTTTCAGTTTGACTTTGGATGAAACAAAGCCGCTCAACTTATTTCTTACAGGACATAGGGATTTAACCAGTTGGGGTGATTTAAATGGTATGTTTTGTGTATGTAACAGCTCTACGTCAGTAGCAGAGGCAGCTTGCTATCCCACCCAATATTTGAATTGTACAATGAGCAGATCAATAACTGGTACAAAATGTCACGTACCAAACAGGAGGAAAAGAAGTGCTAATGACAAACATGACAAAGAAATAGAAAGATTACTTCAGTTAATGTCTTCAACAGAAGAAAATACAGCTGAACTTGAAACTAGGATCAAGGTAAGTTTGAAAATGTTGCATTTCTAAAGCTAACATATTCACAACATGGTATTGTATTCATAGCTACATTCTATAATAAAACCAATTTATGATATAAAAGAAATTAGATAAATCGTTTACATTATGTCTTATATTATAGTTTCTTTCTTCTTCATTTCTTTCTTTCATTCATTCATTCTTTTATTGTGCAGTTAAAAAGATTTACTAATATCATCCAGATATGTTACTCGTTAAGTTCGGTTTGCACTAAGTATGTTCAAATTGTTTCTTTCGTGTAACACTTTTTGCTGTAAAATTGATTTTACTGCTTTTGTATCTCATAATCATGCCATCTTAATGGATTACAATTTTGATCAGCGTCAAGATATCAATATAATTACGGATACAGAAGCTCAAAAACTGTGTGCAGACAAAATTTCCGGTAGTCTAGCTGTGCAAGGATATTCAGAAGTTATTGGCAATGAAGATCCAGATGAAGTTATAAGACAATGTACATTTGATGTAATGGTAAGGAACATCTTTAATTAATCCTAATACGAATTACTGTAGAGGATCGGAATAAAATCTGTTATAAACGTCATTAAACTGTATTTGCAAAAAGTAACGATAATATACAATCACATATTTATAAGTGATTTTAAAATATGAACTTATTAGTTTTTTTTTCTTTATGACTTTTAGTGATTTATTTGTTTAATCATGAAGAAAAATATTCATACACAAAACATTAAAGTTGCCATAATCATAAAACATTAAGTTAGCCCCCTATGTAACGTAAAATATAAATGAACAAAATCCAACAAAAAAGCCTAAAAAATATATTATCCATATATATATATATATATATAATATATATATATATATATGTTTACATTTTACAGATTTGAATGTCATTCTTTTTCAGGTCGGAAACGATACGTCGTGGGCTCTAGCGCATGTAGAATCTGTAAATAATATTGTAAAGAACATAATAGAAAGGGAACCTTCATATGTTGAAAATAACTCTGAAAAGGTTGTTACATTCTTTAGAAATACATGCCCAGGAAACTGTAGCAACAACGGTGATTGTACAGATACAAGTAAGTGATTTATTTATATTTATAAAATACTTATGTGAAACTGTTCTTTAATTATGTCTTGTTTTATTGAACTGTTCTTTAATTATGTCTTGTTTTCAATAAAACAATCAAACTAAACATCTTGTCATATTTAAAGTAATAAAATCTCAAGTTGGTGATAGAGTGATAGAAATTACTGGCAAATAATGGTTGTCATGAACTAATTTATATAAAACATCTTTACGTAATGAAGGAAATTTCAAAAATAGGTTAGCACTTATCTCCAAAGAATGAGGTATCTGAAACTACTCATAACGGCTGTATCTAAGTTGTGTTTGAATGTTCGCTTCTTAAGTTGATCTTAGAGGTATAATTTACAGGCGAGTGTGATTGCTTTGAATTTTTCCATGGACCGGAATGTGACATAGATGAAAGAGATCCTTTGATAATTGACGACATAGAAGGTGGCGGAGAATGTGATCTAGGTGATGGCGAAGAATGTAAATGTTTCCATGTCAGATCTTCAAATATTCTTGAAGGTTTTAAATGCCAAATCAAGGCGATCAAGGTATATATATATATTGCAGTTACATTTTCTTGTGCTGTCATGAAATTGAAGAATTAAACATTGCAGACGTGAGAGGCGATGTTTTTATTTCTCCTTTTTTTCCCCAAATTTTATCTCTAAATTTTGTTTCAATGGTCTTGTGGATTGCCGGTGTTTGCTGAACTGATAAAAAATTTAAAGAATTTCGCTTGATTTAAAACGGTATTTAACTTAGTGTTATGCAAGTAAAATTGACGTCCTTCATCAGGCTGAATCAAACTGAGCTTGCGACATTTTCTATTTGATTGTTTTGAGATTATTTTTGTCTCAATTGTACGAAAAATAATACTGTTTCATCAATACCCTCAATGTAAAACTTGTAACATTAGCTACTGTGTATGTTTGATAGTTTGTCACGGGTAACTTCAAATTCATAAATCAATGAACTACTTTTTTCCTTGAAAATGATAAGGGCATGTTATGTTTTGAAATAGATTTCAGTCACTGGTGAAAGGGAGATGGAATACACAAAGTCATTTACTGGTGGATATGAGGATATATTTACTGGGGTGTGCTGTGTTCAAGACAACATAATTGATACGGAAAGTTTATTTGTTACGCAATACGATTTTTCTATCAGCAATAATGGTTTAACGTTCGTTAACTATAAGAGTGTTTACGTGCTCGACTCAACTTGCCAAGAAGGGGAGAATACTTCTTTCGACAACGCTTCATTCAGCTTGAAGGTAAGATAAAAACAAAAAAGTTGCGACTCTAAACTATTCTGAAATTTAAACTTATCCACGAATAGAATTTGTGTATAGAAACGTTTTTTTTATCTTTATGTCAATGTTTTTTTCTTGGAATTGAATCTGACTTTTTGCTCAAAATGATTTTCAAATTCCTTTTATGAATCTGTGCCTGCACTTTTATAAAACCATTGACTATGCAGCCGGGTGCCTGTGCTAGTGAACGTGATTGCTAAAATTCTAGTGACAAAATGTGTTTTCTAATGCATAATGTCTTGGGTTTTATAAAATATCTGTTATATAAATACTTGTTAAGAATATAAGAATCTTACACTGGCTGTCGGTAAAGGCCGAAATATCTAGCTTGAGGGTTACTGTTTACGGTTGTAATGTACATTATTCATGTGTATTAAATAATGGACACATTTTATTTAAAAACTTTTCAGGAATCAACCATATAATAATAGAACCAATATAATTTTACTGTTGATAAATTTTATAAAATATTTCATAAAATATAGATTTATACCCTTTAAATTCTATACAAAATTAGAAAACATGTTTTTCTAAAGGTCACTTGACTTGAAAAAATTGTTTTTATCTTGTTTCATATGTATCAAATAATCAACTTTAGCACACAATAAATATATGTGTGACACCATATATGTTTGAGAACAAACTAATTCCATTTAAGACTGGATTCTGTTTCATCAATGGATCTTGTACAGCGGAAAAAGAGATGGCTCCTGTTGGTTGTTTGGCATGTCAGTCTATTAAGGATAAATATAACTGGACAGGTACGTTCTTCATAGTAGTTATGGTTTAGTGTTCTTATATTTTAGGCACATGCCTAGATAGCGAACTGTTACATTTACGCATTTGGGGCGTCCGTGGCCGAGTGGTTAAGGTCGTTGACTTCAAACCACTTGCCCCTCACCGCTGTGGGTTTAAATCCCGACAGGGACTTTAGATTCTTTCATGTGAGGAAGCTATCCAGCTAGCTTATGGAACTTCGATTGTTCTACTCAGGTGCCCGTTCGTGCCTGAAATAATGCACGGAAGGGCACCTGAGGTTTTCCTCCACCAGTAAAGCTGGAACGTCGCGATATGACCTATACTGTGTCGATGTGACGTAAAGCCCAAAACAAAACAAAAACATTTACGCATTTTGATTATAGAATTATGCTCCTGACGCTGCTAGCGTAACTTGCATTCACCCTGCCGTACAATCAAAGTGCTTCCGGTTGTCATATTGCTGTGTTATCAATCTTTAATCAATTTCTTTGTACCATTTTAGCTTTCTCATAATCGTTACAGTACCTTTATCTTTTTATTTCTTTTCACAATTGTCTCCCTGTTTGCCACCTTTAATATATATTGTAATTGACAAGTGAACGATTTATGGGCTCTTAGGGATAACTTTCCTCAAGTTGAATATCATTTAATATTTTCATAGTAATCAACACGATATTTATCTTAAATAATAATAGATTAACATGATGATTTTCCCTACTAATATGCATTTCTGACAATTGTTTACCGACGCCTTAATGTCCAATGTACATATATTTTTTCAGATTATAACCCATGCCAGAATGGGGGTTATTGTACTGACGAAACTAACGGCTATTCTTGCGTTTGCGTTGATGGATATGGCGGGAAGAATTGTGAAATCGGTATCTTTTACATTTTTTCAAAAGACTAAATGCAAAGCAATTAATCAATTAAATAAGTGAAAATATCAAAACTTCTGTCCCTTTGATAAGCTAGTGTGTTTTTAATTTTTTTAGTTGGCGTAATGTATTTCCAATGAATACTCGTAAAGAAAGTATTGATCTGAATATAAAACATATTATTTTTAATTTGAAACTATATCTTAAATTGTATGACCAAAAGTGAAAGTGTTCATTGATAATCATCACAAGATTAAACAAACGTAAGTATTAATTGCGTATGTATGTTATAGGAAGGCTTATGAAGTATCTAGTCCGTGGAATATACCCCATCATGTTTCTGAGCTTGATCATTTATAATTAAAAATTCGGTACATTAATTTTATTTCATATTATCTATTAACCACTTATGTTCAAATATAGATATAGATGAATGTTCTTCCGACCCATGCACAAACGGTGGCACCTGTAAGGATCTTGTCAATGGTTATGAATGTACATGCATTGCCGGATATGACGGAACAACATGTGATAATAGTAAGAAATACTGTCAGTCATTTTAAGAAACTAATTTATATATACTTAATTTCAATTGATCGTTTGAAGTTTTGCGGAAATCGATGATTACCTGTAATATTATTATTAAAGATGATAAAAGATATGAACGCCTTTGATTATACCTTGAAGAAGTGATTGTTCACTAAATTGTAAAGAATATTATTATGTTTACTTAAAGTGACATTAAGCCCATCTTAGTGTTTATAATTAGTGTACTAGTAAAAGTTAAAATAACTTTACATTCTTACTTCACATGAACGATATATAACTTACGTGGCCGTATAAAAGCTCTGAAAATATCCATCGCTATTAACCTGTAACGATCAATCTATAATAAGACTTGGGCAGTCTTTTTATATTTAAGCCAGATTTGTATTTTATCCTAGACATTTTCCAATATGAATTGTTGGTCAATAACCATTACACCAGTCACATTTTAAAAAATATATATAGTCAATTCTGCCCAACTTGACAAAGAAAAAATTTGCATACTGTTACTTTAAAAAAATGTAAATAGTGTCAAAAAAATACACTTTTACTATAAGGTTCTACATAATTTTAAGAAAAATTGTTTTTACAGATATCGATGAATGTTCGAACGACCCATGTAAAAATGGAGGTACATGTACGGATCTTGTTAATGGATATGAATGTGAATGTGTGCCGGGATATGACACAGATGACACGTGTCATAATGGTGAGAATTTGAGCCGTGTCACGACAAAATCAACATAGTGAATTTGCGACTAGCATGGATCCAGACCAGCCTGCGCATGCGCAGTTTGATCAAGATCCATGCTGTTCGCTATCAGTTTCTCTACTTGTAATAGAGTTGGTAAGCGAACAGCATGGAGGCGCAAGCTGGTCTGGATCCATGCTGGTCGCAAACCCATTATGTTGGTTTTGTCGTGTCACGGTTCATTTATTTCTATCCCATTATTAGAATCAGAATAAGAAGAAATATCCGTATTCGATTAAATTGGCGTATACAATTAAATATCTGTTCCCGTTTCATTCATTGAATTCAAATATCATCAGATTTTGTAATCTTCGTTTGTAGATTTATTTTACTTTTATGTATTTGATTATATATGTGCTGTTGAATACGACGGCGAAAGCTGCGATAATGGTAAGAATATAGTATGAGTAAATGCTGAGCAAGTTTAAAGAAAAAAAAATTGCATTACACCAATTCACAAATCAATAATCAAAAACATTAATTTCGTTTGTCCTTTCTTTGTAGTGACGAAAATGTGTACTTGACGAAATGTTTTGGTGTATACTTAATTTATTTTAGTTCGATTGTGTAGGAAGATATTGGTTTATTAACACACTTTCGAATCCGTTTACTGATATAAGCACTTTAATCAATTTCGTTTACATAATTTCATTACTTCGCTAGAATATTTTTACGTTCACACAACATAATCATCTCGTGCTTCGATTCGTTGATGTAAATAAGAAGGGCTCATTCGGGTTCTATGCCGCCGTACATAAATTCAAACTTAGATTTCGGTATGAAATATACGCAATAAAATAACCATGTATTTATAAAAAAGGTTACAAATGCACTTTTTCTCGAAACACGTGAATTTACTCAAGCCGGTGCTTGTGCCTTGAAGGGAAACCTGATATCTTACTCCGCCAGTAAACTGAAAAGTTGAATATGAGTCTGGCATGGGTCAGAATTTTCCTCGTTCTTCATTTTAGAGTTAATTTGTGTAGTTTCATTACGATGAATTTTGTGTGAAAGTGTGAAACTGTTTAAGCTGGCACTGAATGCGTATGAGATTTTTAAATTACAGAAGAAAAACCACATATCTCTAAGCACGTTTCAAATTTTCCTTACCCTATTTCTTAAGACTGGAATATAGTGATATAGCGATTAAGAAAGACAGTCTTATTATGCCCCCATTTCGAAGAAAAGGGGGTATATTGCTTTGCACTTGTCGGTCCGTCGGTCCGTCGGTCTGTCGGTCCGTCGGTCCGTAGACCAAATGGTTTCCGAGTGATAACTAAAGAACCCTTAGGCCTAGGAACTTCAAACTTGGTATGGTGATTGGTCATGACCAGTAGATGACCCCTATTGATTTTGGGGTCAAGGGGTCAAAGGTCAAGGTCACATTGACCTTGAAAGCAAAAACGGTTTCCGATCAATAACTAAAGAACGTTAAGGCCTATGAACTTCAAACTTGAGATGGTGATTGGTCATGACCAGTAGATGCCCCCTATTGATTTTGGGATCAAGGGGTCAAAGGTCAAGGTCACATTGACCTTGTAAGCAAAAACGGTTTCCGATCAATAACTAAAGAACCTTAAGGCCTAGGAACTTCAAAACTTGGTATGGTGATTTGGTCATGATCAGTAGATGACCCTATTGATTTTGGGGTCAAGGGGTCAAAGGTCAAGGTCACATTGACCTTGTAAGCAAAAACGGTTTCCGATCAATAACTAAAGAACCTTAAGGCCTTTGAACTTCAAACTTGGTATGGTGATTGGTCATGATCAGTAGATGACCCCTATTGATTTTGGGGTCAAGGGTCAAAGGTCAAGGTCACATTGACCTTGTAAGCAAAAACGGTTTCCAATCAATAACTAAAGAACCTTAAGGCCTATGAACTTCAAACTTGGTATGGTGATTGGTCATGATCAGTAGATGACCCCTATTGATTTTGGGGTCAAGGGTCAAAGGTCAAGGTCACATTGACCTTGTAGGTAAAAACGGTTTCCGATCAATAATGAAAGAACCCTTAGGCCTAGGGACTTCAAACTTTAGATGGTGATTGGTCATGACCAGTAGATGACCCCTATTGATTTTGGGGTCAAGGGGTCAAAGGTCAAGGTCACATTGACCTTGTAAGTAAAAACGGTTTCTGATCAATAACTCAAGAACGCTTAGGCCTAGGAACTTCAAACTTGGTATGGTGATTTGTCATGACCAGCAGATTACTCCTATTGATTTTGGGATCAAGGGATCAAAGGTCAAGGTCACAATGACCTTGTAAGTAAAAACGGTTTCTGATCAATAACTAAAGAACGCTTCGGCCTAGGAACTTCAAACTTGGCATGGTGATTGTTCATGACCAGCAGATGACCCCTATTGATTTTGGGGTCAAAGGTCAAAGGTCACATTGACCTTGTATGTTAAAACGGTTTCCGATCAATAATAAGAGAACCCTTAGGCCTTTGGAACTTCAAACTTGGCATGGTGATTGGTCAAGATCAGCAGATGACCCCTATTGATTTTGGGGTCAAGGGGTCAAAGGTCAAGGTCACATTGACCTTGTAGGTAAAAACGGTTTCTGATCAATTTACTAAAAACGCCTAGGCCTAGGAACTTCAAACTTTGTATGATGATTGGTTGTGACCAGCAGATGACCCCTATTGAGTTTTGGGTCAAGGGGTCAAAAGTCAAGGTCATGACCAGTAGATACTTTATAACCCTTATTAATTGTTTGATCACTGGGTCAGAAGTCATGCATAATAACCTTATCACATGACTAATTGGCTGCTGATAGGGGGCATACATGTTTTACAAACATATCTTGTTTTCCTTTACCTTTAATATTGCTCCATAGAATTAAACAAATGCGCTCCTGGTCCTATCAGGAACTGTGGTACCTGAATGTAATTATGTTGACAAATTGTGACAATAGATGTTTTGATTCTTTTAGATAGGGGATGATAAAACGTATTTCAAAAGGGATAAATTAATATTATTTGGAAAGTATAAAAATTTAAATTAATTATTTTTGTATGGATTTACCCTTTTAACAGATCAAACCATACATAAAAAAGTTTTTTCAAAAATTTAAAAATTTTTTTTATTTTTTTTGCCCACCTGATATATAGTAATTAAACTGTCCGCCTGTCCGTCTGAGATTAACCTAAACCGGCAATTTACATTTTCTTAATTTTACCTAATTCATTTATCTAATGATATCTTCTATTACTTTCACTGCTCCTCTTATGATTTTAGAGTTAGGAGTCACTAGGGTCAAGGTTAATGTCACTCGTGTTAAAAGTTAAATTTTGCTCATGCTGCTTTTTTTAAATTGATGTGTTTCTTTTTAAATACTGACATGTCTAGTGAGGTCCTCCTCTTTTGGGTTTAGTTAGGGGTTACTTTATTTGTAGAGCCTTCATTTTTGTCTAACTAAGCTGATATAAAACGAATGTTTCTTACAATGTAATTTAGATGTAAATGAACGCGCGAGCAACCGTGCAAAAATGATGCCAGTTGACACAATGGATAAAATGAGTACTCGTGCACGGATGGTTTGCATGAATATATAAGTGACCAAAGTTTGAATCAATTATCATCTTATGTAGTAATAAAAATATGATAAAGTTTTCTGTAAAGATGGTGATGACTTTCATACATTTTAATGGACGTTTATTTGAAAAATATGCAGTAAAACAGAACACAATATTCGTTATGCGTGTCTATCACGAGTATTTTTCTTACACAAATGTAAAAACTTGACAACTTGACATTTAGAAGCATGAATGTTGTACACACGTGAAATTCCTGAATGTTGAACACCGTATGTTCTATAATGACTTTTTGTGTGTAAAACAGTCCGGACACACCCCTCCCACCACAAATTAAAACACACACCCGCACGCACACACACAACAGCAACAACAACAAACTTAATTAAATCTTTCATATAAATTTTTAGCACAGGTACAATATCGCTGCAATCCAGATGACAGTATTAATGTGTTCAATCTACCAGAAGACAGTTACCTATTTGCCATGCAAGTTGTCACGGACGGAAATGACATACCGTGTACGGTGCACGAGGAAAATGCGACAACTGTGACATTGACCGGGTGCTCGAAGGTATAAGAATGTCAAGTTTTGTATATTTAATCTGACATTGTTTAAATAGATGAAATGTCTTTCATGTGTCGATGAGAAAGTTAGTTCAAATACAAGAAAAATAACAGCAACAAAAACTGCAACTGCAATTTAATTGTCGGTAATTTTCGTTTAATGTATACCATTAACACATTTATTTAGTTGTCGTTTTTTCTTTAATTGCATAAAACACTTGATGAGTTTCATTTGAAACAATTATTATACCTCCATACACAAAGAGAATTCGTTATGTACTTTCCGCAGATTTAGTGTCCAATTTTATTTGTCATCCAATGAAAACGCTATATTTCTTCAAAATAATGAGTGTTAATTTTCATAGAAGAACAAAAGTCGATACTATATCAAACTCTGTTCATAGTCACCTTCCATTTTTCATAGTGCTTCATCGAACTTTCTAATTTCTGTAGAACAGCACGGATGAACACTAACATATTAATAGTGCACATGCCATTTCATCTTCCACTTTATTGAAAATATTTTAGGCACTGTTGACAATAGTTAATGAGAATACAATGATATATTGTCACAGGATAGAGACATTATTATAACTTATGGGTCACACCGTGAACTAGCTACGCATAAACTACATAGTGGCAAATCTGTTGTAATAAAATTCGTCTGTCTAGAGATTGCCGAGGAAGGAGTTATTCATACAGTCAACAGCTCTTATTCAGCACAGTAAGACTTCTCTTAGATACAGCTTTTAAATTATGTCCCACCCCCTTCAAAGAAGCGGGTGGAATATTGCTTTGCATTTGTCTGTCGGTATGTACACCAAAGGTTTCCGATCAAAACTAAAGAACTCTTAGATATAGGAACTTACATTTGGTGTGGTGATTCTGCATGACCAGCAGGTGGCCCTTCTTGATTTTGGGGTCAAAGCTCAAGGTCACATTGTATGTAATAACGGTTTCCGATCAATTACTCAATAATGCTTAGACGTAGAAACTTCAAACTGGGTATGATGATTGTACATCATGTGATTAAAGGTCAAGTTAATTCAGTTTTAGGTCAGAGACTGGCCATTATTTTGTTTCCATAACTGAACACTTGGAACCATTTACCCATTTATAGTATGTTTCTATAAGAAAATTACAAAAAGTATGAGTCAATGGCTCGAAAGGGGGCATATGTGTTGTTCGACATTTCTTGTTTAAGCTTAAGTTCTTTGTCTTCTATACACATGGTAAAGATACATTTCATTTAATTCGTGCCATAATTATTTTTGTGCCCCAACGTTAGTGGCGGGCATTTAGATTTACCCTTGTCCGACCGTCCGTCCGCCTGTCCGTCCGTTCACTATTGTGTCGCACGTAACTCGAAAAGTATTTGACCTAGAGTCATGAAACTTTACAGGAATGTTGATCAGCATGTGTATTTGTGCACCTGGGTATTTTCGTCTGGATATTTTTAGTATTTTCAGAGTTATTGCCCTTGACTTAGTAAAATTTTGCAATTTTCAACTTGTGCAGCATGAAACTCAAAAAGTATTTGACCTAGAGTCATGAAACTTTACAGGAATGTTGATCAGCATGTGTATTTGTGCACCTAAGTATTTTCGTCTGGATATTTTTAGTAATTTCAGAGTTATTACCATAGACTTAGTTAATATGCAATTTTCAACTTGTGTCGCATGCAACTCAAAAAGTGTTTGACCCAGAGTCATGAAACTTTACAGAAATGTTGATCAGCATGTGTAGTTGTGCACCTGGGAATTTTTGTGTGGATATTTTTTGTATTTTCAGAGTTATTGCCCTTGATTTAGTAAAATTTTGCAATTTTCAACTTGTCTCGCATGTGACTCAAAAAGTATTTGACATAGAGTCATGAGTCATGAAACTTTACAGGAATATTGATCAGCATGTGTAGTTGTGCACCTGGGTATTTTCGGCTGGATATGTTTAGAATTTTCAGAGTTATTGCCCTTGACTTAGTAAAATTTTGCAATTTTCAACATGTGTCGCACGTAACTCAAAAATTATTTGACATAGAGTCATGTAACATGTGCAGGAATATTGATCAGCATGTGCAGTTGTGCACCAGGTATTTTTGTCTGGATTTATTTAGTTTTTTAGAGTTATTGCCCTTCACTTAGAACATTTTTGCAATTTTCAACTTGTGTCGCAAGTTACTCAAAAAGGATTTGACACTTTCATTAAACCTTACGGGCAGGTTGCTCAGCATATTTAGATTTGCACCTGGGGTTTCGCTTGTGGATTTATCCAGTATTTGTAGAGTTATTTCCCTTGACATAGTAAAAAGATTGACAGAACAGTGACGCGGTGGGGGCACCCGTGTCCTATGGACACATTTCTAGTTTTATTTTATTGTGTTCATTATTACCCAAGTCTTCACAAATTAAAATACCATACCAGTATGCGGGAGCTTCAATTTAATGTAATAAAAATTGGCCATGAAATGACATTGACCTGCAAATTTAATTGATGATCTTGAAAGTTTGTCATTGCGTTTTATCTACTGTCAGATTTGAGACCAGATAATTTATGACTTATGACCACATGTAGCTGTTTATAGTTAAATATATACATAATATAACACATCACTAGAATTAATGAATTTGTAATTTTATGCTGCTATTCTGTTCGCCGGATTCTTAATCATGTGCGCTTTTTATCTTAACATGTATTTCACTAACGGGTGTACTATTAGAGTTGACTTAAACCAGTTAACAAATTTTGTAACCGTTTCTGATGACAACACCCTATACATATTTTAATTATTTACTCAACCAGGATGTCTATAGACGAACAAATCAGTGTTGACCCATTATACAGTGTGAAATCATCACTTAGTGAGACTTCAACTACTGTTGGAAGTGAAATAATTTGGACAATACTCTTTCCAGGTAAACCAAATAGAATATGATATTGTGATACAAAATGTAGACTTAGTGTAAGCAAATCTAATACGAGTGGAAAAGTTTTGATATATGATGCTCTGCACTTGTTCGTCCGCCCTTCCGTCCGTCAGAAACTTGAAAACGTTGTAGCAATTTACATTGCTCTTCTTTCAGTAAAATATATTCATTAAAATTCTATAAAGTTTTAACGGAATAGGTCTGATTTGGATAAAACAATGAATGAACCTTGTATGTGGAAGCTCATCGTCGGATACCCACGATTGATAAACATGTCACATAACATGCAATGAACCGTGGTTAAAATGAATCGATTTGCGTCGATATACAGCAACAGGTGCGTAAAATATCTACCAATGACATCGCGTTTAACAAATCTATATTCTTCAACAGCGGAGGTAAAAAACAATAAGAAACAAAATGGCAGCGCCCATGGTTAAAAACTGTTGTACGTGTCTTGCTAAAATCAATGGCAAAAACTATCGCCAAATCAGTTCTTCTGCAAGCAGATATCAATCAGAAAGAAAAACATCACGCTGTAAAAGTAAATTATTTATACTTTCTTGCTGGAAATCGTTTAATTTTTCGATGTTGAACTTTTCACGTCATCTATAGTTGTCGCAATATTGTCCGTAATACCGAAGGTCGTACAGAACGAGCCTTTTGATTGGTTTTAATCGCCTCATGAAATCGTGAGGCAGCCAATGAAATAGCTGCCATCTACATCTACATTGTACGTCGGCGCAATCACACTTGATTATGACGCGACGGGTGGTGCTAGGTCAAGAAAAAGAAATATACAAGAAATGATAGAAAGTAAGAAGAGGTTGGATAGTACAAAGGTAGAGATATAGACAAAAAGTATGGCCAGCTATATTTCGCCTCTTCAACCCAAACCGCTCCGGTTACGGTGGCCGCTGCCGGCACAGCCTTGGATATCACTAGTAGGTACTTGTAGCTGGGCCCCTAAGGCGACTTAGAATGTGAGGGCTGATAGCCCCTGCTTGAAGGATACCAAGTCAGGGGCCTCTGCAACGGAGGCAGGTAAGCTGTTCCATATCGTGGCTGTACGAGGGAAGAAGGAGTTCTTGTAGTACGATGTAGATGTTGATGGTAGATGGAACTTCTTGGAGTGGTCACTTCTAGTGCGGCTCGGGGCAGGGGTGAGATAATCGCTGACTGGTATGTCCACAAGGTCATTGGTGATCTTGAACATCATGGTCAGCTGGGCTTTGGTCCGTCGTGACTCTAATGTCTCCCACTCCAAGTGTTGGATCATTGAGGATACGCTGCTTGTGTTGTGGTAACGGTTCGTCACATATCTTGCAGCTCTCCTCTGGACCATCTCGAGCTTGCGTGTAAGATCCTTGGTATAAGGGTTCCAGATGGTGGAGCAATATTCAAGGCCTGGTCGCACGAGTGACATGTAGGCTGTGCTCTTGACCTGTTCATTGCTGATGCGCAGGTTGCGTCGAAGGAAGCCGAGTGTGCTGTTGCCCTTCTTTACGATCTTGTCAACATGTTGATTCCAGGAGAGGTTTCCAGACATATGGACTCCGAGGTACTTGGTTATCGAGTCTATCTCTGCCTTTGACACACCTCTAATCGACTGAATATCTGCAAAAAATCCCACGGCTGATAAATGTTAAATGGTTCGGCCATGGGTGTCCGACAATGGTGGAAGCTTTATTTTGTGTAAAGCCGAAACATGTTTATTTCATATTTTCAAAGAAACTGTGTTGCAATCACCAATATTTTCTAATATGAAACTTTTGAGCATAGTATATGTTGAATACAATAAAACGATCAAAGCACAAATTTGGGCATCCTTGGATCAAGATAGTCATACTAAAATTTGTCAACATCTATAATATTCAAAATCTATTCCGTTAGTTGAAGAGAACTATTTGGCAAAAGTGCAAATATTAGAGACATTATGAAGAGCGCATGTTTAGGCTTCCTCAGATCAATGTCTATGTCATAGTGGATCATTCAAAATATATAAGTTTATATTTAGTGTATTTATTACTATTCCTCCCTTAACTTTCTAAAAGTAATACACTTTTTAATCAAACTTTGACTTTTTATTTTTTAACAATTTCTGTTAAAATGAGATTTTAGACACTAGTAAGTCTTCCCGACCCCTCAAATAAGTGGGTTTTTTTGCTTTTATTTTGTCTGTCCGTCGGTCAGTAGACCAATTGGTATGCGATTGATAACTAAAAAACACTTAGACCTAAAATTTAAAGCTTTGTTTGATGATTTGGCATGACCAGTAGATGACCCTTATTGATTTTGGGGTCTATAGGTCAAGGGTAAGGTCAAGTTGACCTTGTAGGTTAAAACGGTTTCCAATCAATAATTAAAGAAAACTTAGGCATAGGAACTTCAAACTTGTATCAATGATTGATCATGAGAAGTTTTATAACCCCTATTGATTTAAGGGTCAAGGGGTCAAAGGTCTAGGTCACACTTTGTAGATGAAAATGGTTTCCGATCAATAACGGAACAAATCAAGTTGGCCTCGGTTGCTACCTTTACTGAACTAAAATACTTTTAGTACATTTCAAAGTCTAGCCTGGGATTCAGGCTTTGATATTTTTACTTATTTATATATCATACGTGCTATTTTATACTCGTTCGATTTCGTACTCGTTCGTGTTTTTGATAATATAAATGCCTGGGGAAACTTGCGGGGTTTCCCATGTAATAATCCTATTGATAGACTGATAAGCACGTGACCGACAAGTCACATGACTAAATTCAAATCGAGGCAAGGATGCTGAATGTTTTAAATTTGACGCCATTCACCATTATAAATTGCGTCCAGTACATATCTCTAATGCTCTCAGACTTCATCCACACGGAAATTGTCTTTTGCTAAACTATCTTGTTGATCAAATTCAGTCATCATACAATAAACTATGTAAACGAGTGTCAAAACTGTCAATTTCTTATCGAAAATGGGGTTATGAAAGCGAGGCTCTGTGACTGTTAGTTGGATGGTATCAAGATTACCCTATTTATTTCTGTATATAATTCTTCTTCTTAATTGAATGGAAATAGTTCTGTGGCCCAGTTGTCCGAATGCAACTTAAGAGCGTTAAATCAGCTATCAAGCTAGCTTGGGAAAGATGATATTAAGTGCTTATTAATTCCTGGAAAGAATGAGCCATATGAGCCAAATTTGGTTTTCTAGTTGCTCCAGTAATGCACGAATGTTATTCTATGATATAAATGACTCATTTTTAGCTCAATTTTTCGAAAAATAAGGAGTGCTTTTGTATTCACCCCTGTTTCGTTGTCGGCGTCATCATCAGCCTTTGGTTAATTTGTATGCGTGCAATTAGGTATCTCAAAAATACTGAAGAAAATGGGTTTAAAATTCACTACTTGTGATCTCTGATTATCTAACATTATGGGCATATGTCTCATTTATCTAAGTTACCTTTATACAGAGTTAAGGCCCAATTCTATAACTGTCAAACACTGATAATATTCAAGTGCGCTGTCTTGCGGACAGTTCATTCTTAGATCTTGTAAATATTATCTAAGATCTTGTTAGCTTTATTTGAGAAATTGATTTGCATGCTTTAAAACTTGTAGAATACTACAGTTTGGAAGTAAGTAGCTGTACAGCGTATCCAGGCACAGATGATTCATCCAGTGATAATGTCAATTTGATCTTTAATAGCGGGTAGGTGAATAGCCTTATTTTATTTTTTAATTATTTCATTATTTTCCAAAATCTTCATATTTTGATACATATTGATCACAACTATGTCAAATTTTGATGTTTTTTTTTCTTCATATTTTATCTTATTTTCTTTTTATGTGATTGTTTTAAAAACCTTTAGAATCTGAATGTCCTGTATTTACGGTCATTTACTTCACAAATGACATTCTTTTCCATTGTTTCGAATCCAAGAAGATGTTTACATATTTTGAACGAACGAATGATTTATTTTTGAACCGTATTTACTCACGAATCGTATCCAATTCAATTTATTTTTGTTTTTAAACAGCAATACAAATGATAGATTGTGAAAAGAAGAAACACTGACTACTGAATAATTGTGTTATAAATTTTATTTGTAGATGTTCTACCGTCACGGATATCATAAGTGACTTCAACAGTTATAGTAATGGAACTGCATCTGCCAAATTACAAGCCTTCAAATTTTACAACTATGACAGCGTATTTTTGACATGTAATTTGAAAGTATGTCCATCTGGAACGGCCCCAACAGCTTGTTTGGTATGAAAACAGTTGTATGTTGATGTAATTAAACCCCAATCATATAATGTCGATTTATTAATGAAATTGTGTCTACGTTCTTTAGATCCTATTGCTATTGAAGGATATGTTTGTCTAAAATAGGTTCAAATATTCAAGACAAGGCAATGCACAGAACCCATGCCACCTGTATTATGATGCTTATAAATGCTATGCTATAGGGGACCTGAGGGGATTGTTCCCCGGTGGATTTTCTTTTAACTGGTCGCAAATCAACATCAACAAAATAATTTAGCATTTTAGAATGTTCATAACTATGATTTTATTTCTAGTTCTTACGTATGTCTCACATCTTTTTAAAGATTATTTAGAAATTTCCTCTATACCATTGAAATTGTTTTCATATCTAATTATCATAATTTTAGACCACATGTAGCAGACAAAAAAGAAGCGTTCAAACGAGAGCGTTAGAACGACAAAGGTCAATGGTTCCCATGACAATAAGCAATGTGCTGTACGTAGCTGATTCTAGCGGGACCTTACAATGTAAGTGTGTCCTTTAACTGTTATTACGTAACTATTTGTGCATGAAGAAACAATGTTTTCGCAAACCATCTGCAACGCAATTACGTTTTTTATTCATTGTACAATAAAGATCTTCCTACTTAATACAAAACATCTGTAAGATACGTTATTGCAGGTTCACCTAAATCTTTAGCACGAGTAAAGTTTTATCTTTAGAAATGACATGTTAAGTAACCCTTAAAGATGCATGTTTTAAACAAATACAATAATACAGTCAGGTTGTTTTCATTTACAGGTTGTGAGAATTTTAGCAATTATACCATTAATTCTGATTGTCCATTGTTTAAGTTATGGCTCTTTGTAAATTTAATATAGGCTCTTTACTCTATGCCTGTTTAAATTCTGATTCACTAGAAACCATTCTATTATATACCTATAAATTTCCTCCCTAAAATATACACATGAAGCCGTTGGTTTTTATGTAAGCTAAGGGGAAACGGGAATCAATTTTACTGTGGGCGTGACCTCTTTTGTAAAAATGTATTCTTTCATCATTCGTGAATATTATTTCTTGACAGAGTCGAGTGGTCAATGCTGTTGAATTCGAACCACTTGCCCCTAGCCGCTTTTGGTTCAAATCCCGCCAGGAACTTTGGATTCTTTCACGTGAGGAAGCTATCTAGCTGGCTAACAGAATATCGGTGCTTCTACGAAGGTGCTCGCTCGTGCCAGATTTATAAATGCACGGAGGGGTACCTGAGGTCTTCCTCTGCCTGTAAAAATATGACCTCTACTATGTTTGGTGATACGTAAAACCCAAACAAAAAATTCTTGTCAGCTATATTTGTATTTGTAAAATAAGTAATAGAAGTATAAAATATGAATATCCTTTAGTCTTAGAATTTATAGGTATATAATAAAAAGAGCTCTTCTGTGGTAGATTTCCGACGTCATGTGTTTCGCTACTCGCAGCGTGTATAAAAATTGACCTTCGGTTTCGATATCAGTTTTCCAACGCTACTCGTACCAAAATACAAAGCCTCAGAAATCTACTACAACATCATGTTCCATATTTTGGTATTTTGATAATGAAATTTGATATTTAAATTGTGCTCATTCTCGGATATGATTGGATTCGATAAATGTGATTGTTTGGGCTAAATCTTGTATGCTTTCAGTTTCGCAAAAGATTCTTATTGTAACACATTTTATATACTATTAGTTTGATAAAATATATACATGTATATATGTAATTATATCTCTTACATGATGTCATTTTCAATTAAGGGATGTGTATAATGTGGGGATTTTTTTTTATTTTGGTTAACACCTGGACAATCGTATTGGTATCTAATTTCAGGTATCTTTGATTTCACCACGACAACCATCTTGACTTTGATAATTGTTTTTTCAAGAGATTATCTTTTGTGTCAGTGACCGAGGTGAATTTAAAACGAACGTTACCATCGTTTCATCATGCAGCGTTTGATATTCATTTAAAATGCAAATGGATCAACAGCTAATTCAATGCCTTATTAGAATTGTCAATATGTATGTGTGTATGTATGTGTATACAATGTATGTGCGTATGCATTGTATGTGTGAATGGGTGTGTGCATTGCATGTATGTATGTATGTATTTAGTAATGTATGTATGTATTTATGTATGTGTAAAATAGTGGATTTATTAAATTATAGTAGTAAAATATTGTAAAGTACTTATAATTATGTTCCCTTTCGATTTCGATATATATGTTCCCTTTTCCCTATTGGTGGTTAACAAATTCGTTCCCGCTGAATATCTAGCGAACTGTTAGACCTATTGCTTTCTTATTTCATAGGATGATCACCCTTTTTAAGTGAAGACCCTTTATTGTTTTTGGCTACGATGCCTGATTGTCAAGGTAATAGTGACCTTGAATGTGAAAACAATTGCCGCTAAATTGCTTCAAAACAGCTTCCCCCATAGCCTTCAAAAACCAGTATAATAGTCATCCAAACTAAGTAGAAAATATGATAAACAAGATCAACAAAGAAAGGCGGCGTTCAATGAACGCAACCCCCACACGATCCAGCGGCATTTAAGTAGTCGGCCTTAATTGTTTTTAGGCACCGATGCATGATGGTCCAGATTAAGGTGAAAACCATTCCCGTTCAATAATTTGACTAACGTAGACCTTTTCCGGTAGCGAACATTTAGTCACACCTTTTCCATTCATTGCTAGGTCCACTGCTCATAAACAGTATTACAAGTATTGTGCAAACCAGGTCAACCAGTGACTATGTATTATCTCGGTGTAGCAAATGGATAACAAGTTAGCCAATTTACATAAAACTGTAAACACTGGACAGATCAATTTCATCCATAGCCTTCAAACTTTTATACGATGATCACCCTCATTAAATAGAAAACCGCGTTGATGAAGGTCATTGTAAAGTGACATTGACTTTGAATACCATTTCGGCTTAAATACTTTAGAACCATATAACAAATAATCTCCATGGGATTGATTAGAAGAGGCTTCGATGCATGAATGTCAATGCCATAGTGGTGTACCTTGAATGTGAAAACCATTCCTGCTCAATAACAGGAAATAAACCCATAGTCTTCAATAATCACCTGGCTCAGTGTTCATAAAGAAAATATTTTATTTCCATTGTGTTATATTTCTAAAATTAATTATATTCTGCTAGAATTAAATGATACATATCCAAATTGTAAAATAAATGCCGATTTACAAGGAAATCAACCTATTTTCGGATTAACACAAAGAATAACAAAACAAATACAAAAATAATCGAATCAAAATAAGGATCAGTTTTAGGATCAATGTCAATATTTGGATCGACTGTAAAATGCCGGTATCTTACAAAAATAACAATAAATTTATTCTAAAGTTTCGTAAACGTGTTATTTCAAGTCCAGTTTTTTCAAATTAATATTAAATATTTTATCTGAGTATAAGTAAATATTTAATTTGATCTTGATCCTGATCCTTAAATCTTTGTGAACACGGGGCCTGCATTTAGACCACTTAATACTTGAAGGAAAAGGTCACAATGACATTTTAAAAGACATTTCCGCTCATTTACTTGATAACAAATTTACCCAATGCCTTTAAACTTTACAGAATGATCACCTGCATCGAGTACAAGATCCCTATTTTTCTTTATTTTTAAACATTAAACTGACCTTGAAAGTGAAACTTATATCCGCTCATAACTTAAAACAATTTGAACCATACTGTTGTCTTAAGTTTCATAGGATATTCATACTAATTGAGTAGAACCCCCTACTGTTCTGTGGCTTAGATTGTTAAAGTGACCGTGACCTTTGAAAACCAGTTCTGCTCATTACCTTGAGGACCATTTAACCAATGGACCTTTCCGGTTTTTACGTAGCGGAACATTTAGCCACACCTTTTCCATCCATTGCTATGTAAACAGTATCACAAACGTAAGCACGTGTTCTTCTGTGCAAACCAGGTCAACCAGTGACTATGTATTATCTCAGTCCAGCAATTGAATAATAAGTTAGCCAACATAAAACTGTAAACACTGAAAAGGTCCATAGCCTTCAAACGTTATAGGATTGTCGCCCTTAATTAGAACTGGATAAAAGAAGATAAATGTAATGTATTTCAGAATTCAAATTCTATTAGTATTAGAATAACATGTATACTAAAGATCCGTCAGATAGTAGGAATGTACTCAATTGATGGTTATTATTCTTTTGATTCTGTCATATATAAACTAAATATTGGAACCAGTGTAAGTTTATTTTCTTGTGTAATATGCACCTTTGAGCGTGAAAGCCAAATGACGAGTGCTCCGTTCGTAACATTTAATGTAATATAGTGAAACTGAAAGAAAAAATGTTTTTTCAGTGGTTGGATTCAGAAATAAACGTTGCTTCAAGATGTAAATATTTAGCTCGACTATACAAATTATATGGAGAGCTGTCCGACTCGCCCCGGCCTCGGCGTCCGCTTCCAGATTTCAGATTAAAGTTTTGGTGCAGTAAGATATTTTTCACTATAATAACTTTTTTCATTTTTATAGTATCAATTTTAAACTTCAAATATATGTTTCTTATCCTCAACTACATCTTATGTGACAGGGTTCATAACTCTAGCACCAAGTTAACAACTATAACTTCTTGTCATAAGAAGAAATTTATTTATATCATATTGATTTGTTCGTTCATAGTTTTCTTCCGAACTGCGTCCAGTATTTAATTAGTCAAGCTTTGTTACAACCAGTTTTGCAATAAAAACGAGTTTTGCAACATTAGTGTTGGAAATGTTGTTACTATAGTAGTGATAGTAGTGTTTGCTGTGGTATTTAGTGTTAGTAAAGGTAGTGTTAGATGTTGATACTGTATAATTATAGCAGTGACGGTGATAATATTGTTAGTTTACTTGTGTAAAAAGTGTTCGTGATATAGTAGCAAGTCAATTGTAAAAGAAAAACAAATATAATTCATATACTCAGTCAGGGTTTAGGCTGTATCATGTCACGCAGCTTTTTCTCGGAATTTCTTTCTTTGAATATAGTACATGCACATGTAAAACGTAAACTTCCTACAAGTATAAAGTTTTCACTTTTATCTTTCTTACGATAACAACCGTCCGGTTAGCTCAATATAGAACGTTGGACTGTGAATCGGGCTCCCCGGGTCCTATTCCCGGATAGTGCAGGTGATTCAGTATGAACTCATTTCTACTGTTATTGGCAATGTACCTGTTCTCTGTCATGTGCAAAAGTAATTAGTGAAGGCAAATAGTACTAGTCAACAGCTTGACAACCTGCCCAAGAACAATATATGGAACGCCTGGACTGTCTTATGTTAAGAATGAATGATATACCCGGTTAAATGTCTTTCTGTTGAGTCCGAGATACAAAATGCTGGGTGGAAATCCTAATGTGCTCAGTTATTGAAGTGCTATGTTGTGTGCTGACTGTATTTTATTCAGTCAAGTCAATGTATTGTCGGGTGCATAAGTCGTTATGTTCAGTTCTTAAAACAAACTGGCATGTGGTAACACAATTATGTTGAGTTAAAAAGATATGTTGTAGGGTGTGACAGTTGTTATGTTCGGTTATAATAATATGCTGTTTGGTGCTTTTCTCATCATGTTCAACCATGAAAATAAACAGTTGAGTGGTACTATCATTTTGTTTGGCTGAGGCAGTGTATTATTGGGTGATACTTTTATTATTTTCAGTTGCAATGACATGCTGTTGGGTGCTTTATTCCTTCTGTTCAGTCGTGAAGTAGAACTGTTAAATGGTACAATCATTATCTTAAATGGTACTATCATTATATTGTGTGCTGATTATATCTTCTTTAGTCAAGGCAATGTGTTGTTCGGTGCAAAGGTCGTTATGTTCAGTGGTTTTTGGGTACTATCATTATGTTAAGTTCAGATGATATACTGTTCGGTGTGTGACTCAAATAGGTTTGCCTTACTTGTATATTATGTTTCATATTTTGAAATTTCGTCTGACGTGCCCACTTGTGAGTCTTAAAAGTTACCAACACATATATTTTAAGTTTTATTTACGGTGGTCATGTGTGACTTGAACAGGCTACCCTTACCCATATTTTAAGTTTTATATACTGTGCCCATTATGACTGTAACAGTATAGTATAGTCATAAATTAACTTGATAAAATACCCATTGGGCATTAAATATGCCATACGATCTGTCATACGAATTTATAGAAATAACGTTTTTAAGCTCCCGATGGTATTTACGGAGAAGAAAATTGTTTTAGCAACTTAGTGGTCATTAGCCTCGACGTGACCTATGGAAATTAGTTGCTCCCGCCCGCAATCTTGTTTGGCGCGAAGATATCCGAATGAACCCAATATAATTGTATGACCACTCAGCGCATTGTCAAATGACTTGTGCACCGAACAGTATATCATCTGAACTGAACATAATGTCGGTATCACACAACAGTTTGTGTTTACTACTGAACATAATGACCCCTGCACCGAACAGTATATCATATGAACTGAACATAATGACGGTATCACACAACAGTTTGTGTTCACTACTGAACATAATGACTTCTGCACCGAACAGTACATCATCTGAACTGAACATAATGACGGTATCACACAACAATTTGTGTTCACTACTGAACATAATGACTTCTGCACCGAACAGTATATCATCTGAACTGAACATAATGACTTCTGCACCGAACAGTATATCATCTGAACTGAACATAATGACGGTATCACACAACAGTTTGTGTTCACTACTGAACATAATGTCCTCTGTACCGAACAGTACATCATCTGAACTGAACATAATAACTTCTGCACCGAACAGTATATCATCTGAACTGAACATAATGACGGTATCACACAACAGTTTGTGTTCACTACTGAACATAATGACTTCTGCACCGAACAGTATATCATCTGAACTGAACATAATGACGGTATCACACAACAGTTTGTGTTCACTACTGAACATAATGACCTCTGTACAGAAAAGTATATCATCTGAACTGAACATAATGATAGTATCACACAACAGTTTGTGTTCACTACTGAACATAATGACCTCTGCACCGAACAGTACATCATCTGAACTGAACATAATGATAGTACTATTCAACAGTTCTATTTCACGACTGAACAGTCTGAATAAAGCACCCAACAGCATGTCATTGCAACTGAAA